CTGAAGTGGCAGGAGAATGGAAATGTTGCAGCATCCCCCTCGTTAAATAATTGCGTCTTCTTTGAAAACATCCTTTATTTGCAAGTGTGTTTCTGGCAAGTACCTCGCCCTGCCGCAGCGCCCGCCAACGGCCTGCCAACGAGGATCCCAGTGAAACAGCACTGCTCCCTGTGGTCTCCAGCACCTTCCTGCTGGAAGCTACCGAGAGAGGACGATGGGCTGAACACTGATTTCTAGAAAGGACACACCCTGGAACTGGCAGCAGGCAGCTGCAGCGTATCGAGCTGTAGCCACCTCCTTGTGGGTAAAGCACAGTCCTCGTGTTCCAAACGGCTACGCTGCTCAGGAAGGGAACAGACGCGCCACTTGTCCCGATCCACGGTTGTAGGAACGCCTGCCCTTTCCGTTCCGCGGCTGCTTGGCTTGTCTTGGGGCACGCGGGTGGTGTTTTCTGTCCATGTGAATACAGAAGCCAGCTAACTTCCGCTTCAATTATCTGGCTTCCACGGCTGCGCAGCAGGACAAGTGACGGGATTCCCAGCCCAGCAGTGCCAGGCGCTAACGAATGGCAGACTGACCCAGACACACAACAGAAAGCGCCTCCTGTGCCGACAGCCAGTCAGTGGCGCTGGGCATGTTGGGGTTTGCCCAGGAACTCCCTAGGAGAGAAAGCAGGACACGGACCGTGACAAACCCACCCGGCCAGAGAACTTGGCGCATCAGTGCCACTGAGGCCGTCTCTTCCCAAAGCCAAGCCCCTCCTGCCTCGTCGGTCAGCCTGCTCCAACCCAGGAGCCTGCCTGTGCTGTGGGGGAGGGGATGGTAGCTACCAGGTAACTGAACACTCCTGTAGGCGCCTGGAACTTTAGCGGTTACACGACCGTTTGATGGTCCCGGTGGGGCAGCCAGCGCGGTGCCAGGCAGAGCTGGTCCACAAGGGGAGCCGGTTTAGAAACCAGCTCCTGGTGCAGACCATCTGCCTGCTGCCTCTGCTACCGTGGAACCCCCCGCGAACAGGGACTGCTTCCCCAAATCACCCTCTGCCTGCAGCGGGCTCAGGCTCACCATGGACAGAGGCGGCTTTGTGCTCCCTGCGGGGTGTGGGGAGGTAGCAGGGGACAACACGGAGCTGGTGCTGTAGAGAACTGGCTTTTAAGCTGGCTTCCCCCAGCACCAGTTCCTGCCCACCTCACCCCCACTGCCTCTGTAGGAGGCAGCCAAGGGGGAACTGGGGGCAGGCAGGTCCATGGCCCAGCACACACAGGGAGCCTGCTTGAAAGCTGCTCCCCCCCTCCACACTCCTGCCTCTCTATCAGAGGCAGCAGCGCAGGGGGTGCAGGCGGATCTTTAAAGCCAGTTCCCACTCCCTCCCCCCTTGCTGCCTCTGATCCTGGAAGGAGAACGTGCGCATAGTCAACACATGAACTGAAAAGTCCAGCTTGTCGGTGAGTCGAACTGTCAGTTACATCTTGACATCCCCCTGGCAGCACAGGCCGGCTCCGGGCGTCAGGCTGGCCGGCCTGGAGAACAGCAGCAGTGCAGACGGGGCAGCAGAGCAGCAGCACAGGCCAGCTGCCTAAGTTTGTACCCAGGCCTCCGGCAGGGCTTCCCTGCTGGCTGCTAGCCCTGCCGCCCTGTAGAGCTAACAGTGCACTGCCTGTGCTACGCTCTCCCTCTCCATGGGCTTCAGAGGGAGCCGGCCTCCCATGCATTAATGCAAAGAGGAATCCCCAAGGTCTGACAAGAGCCGCTACCCTGCTCTGTACGATCTTACCTGCTGGTAAAGCCTCCTGGAGAGTTCTGCAGGGCCACGCTCGCCCTGGGGCGCTGGGCGGCTGATTGCCCAGTGAGACACCCAACCCTCCGGAGGGAGCTAGGCTCAGCCCCACAGAGATGCCATCTTAAATCCCCTATTCTCTGGCATTTCAAGGGGAAAATGGAGCCCGACCTCTCCGTGACAGCTGCTCTCTGAGACGTGGCATCTGCCCATTGCACGTAGGAGTTTGGGTGCTGCACAGTCAAGGGAGTTACTCACCTTGTGCAGTAACGACTGTTCTTCGAGATGTGTGTCCCCGTGGGTGCTCCACGACCCTCCCTACCTCCCCTCTGCTCGGAGTCGAAATTACTCGGGCGGAGACGAGGAACTGAAAGGGAGGGGGATGAGTCACACTCCTCAGGAGGCGGCAAGGGCTCGAGACGCCTCCTGGGCATGCGTGACTCAACAGGGGAAACTGCTATAGAAAGCTCCGATCTGAGGCTCAGGGCGACCCTTCACCTACAGTGGAGCACCCACGGGGACACACATCTCGAAGAACAGTCGTTACTGCACAAGGTGAGTAACTCCCTTTTCTTCTTCGAGTAGTGTCCCCGTGGGTGCTCCACTGTAGGTGAAGGGTCGCCCTGAGCCTCAGATCGGAGCTTTCTATAGCAGTTTCCCCTGTTGAGTCACGCATGCCCAGGAGGCGTCTCGAGCCCTTGCCGCCTCCTGAGGAGTGTGACTCATCCCCCTCCCTTTCAGTTCCTCGTCTCCGCCCGAGTAATTTCGACTCCGAGCAGAGGGGAGGTAGGGAGGGTCGTGGAGCACCCACGGGGACACACATCTCGAAGAACAGTCGTTACTGCACAAGGTGAGTAACTCCCTTTTCTTCTTCGAGTAGTGTCCCCGTGGGTGCTCCACTGTAGGTGACTACAAAGCAGTATCCAGTATATGGTTGGAGGGAGCCGGAGTCAGTGTTTGGCAGTGGTGGAGAGCACTGCCGTGGCAACTGCTGAGTCACTCTTAAGTTGTGGAAGAATGGCGTAATGTTTAGCAAAGGTATGATCTGAAGACCATGTTGCTGCCCGGTAAATGTCTCTTAGGGGGACATTGCTCAGAAAGGCTGTGGAGGCAGCCGTGGCTCGAGTAGAGTGTGCTCTTGGTGGGCATATCAGCGGTCTATTGCCCAGTGAGTGGCACTTAATTATGCATGTAGATATCCATTTTGAGATTCGTTGAGATGATATCGGTGTGCCTTTGGATCGTTCAGCGATGGAGATAAAAAGTCTTTCAGATTTACGGAATGGTTTTGTTCTTTCTAGGAAGAAGGCCAGAGCCCTCCAGATGTCCAGGGTGTGCAGAGTGGCATCTGTCTGCGACGAGTGCGGTTTTGGGAAAAAGGTAGGTAACACGATTGGTTCGTTAATATGGAATTCTGTACCGACCTTTGGCAAAAACGTGGGGTGGGGTCTAAGTATGACCCTATCCTTTGTGAAAATTGTGTAAGGAGGTTCTGACATTAACGCTCCAAGTTCGCTCACCCTCCTGACTGAGGTGATGGCTAGGAGGAAACAGACCTTCATAAAAAGGAAAGGAAGTGGCACTGTTGTCAGTGGCTCAAAGGGAGGTCTGGTGAGGTAGTTCAAAACAAGATTTAGGTCCCACAAGGGGGGTGGAGTCCTATGTGGTGGGTATACATTCTGGAGTCCCTTGAGGAATCTTTTTGTAATAGGGTGGTTGAAAACGGAGAATCCATCTACTGGTGTATGAAATGCTGCTATTGCAGAGAGGTGTACTCTTAGGGAAGAGACAGAGAGTTCTGATGCTTTAAGGTCCAGAATGTAATCTAGAATGGTATCTAATGGTGAGGCACGGGGCTCCATTTTGACTCGCTGACACCAGTGACAGAAACGTGCCCATTTCTGTTGGTAAGTTTTCCGAGTAGACTGTCTCCTGCTCTGGAGGAGGATGTCCTTTACTTGCTGGGAGCAGCGATCTTCTACCTCTGAGAACCAGAGAGAAGCCAAGCCTGAAGATGCAGGGTATTGAGTTGTGGGTGCAGTATCTTGCCGTTGTTCTGAGATAGTAGGTCTATCCGGTACGGTAGCGGGTAGGGGGGCTGGACCGCTAGCCTGTGAAGGTATGGGTACCAGGTTTGTCGAGGCCATGATGGCGCAATCAGGATGACTAGGGCTTTGTCCCTCAGGATCTTGCGCAGGACTCTGGGGATGAGCGGTATGGGAGGAAAGGCGTAGTGTAGGGAGGCTGTCCAATTGATCAGGAAGGCATCTCCCAGAGAGTGTTTGCCAAGTCCCGCACGTGAGCAGAATTGGGGACATTTGGTGTTCTGGGTAGAAGCAAAGAGGTCTATCGATGGCCATCCCCACTGGTGGAAAATTGAGTTCGCCACCTCCGTATGTAACTCCCATTCGTGGTTCAAAGCGAAGTTTCGGCTGAGTGAATCCGCTTTGATGTTGTTCACCCCGGGCAAGTAGGACGCTATGAGGGTGACTTGGTTGCGGATGCACGAGTTCCACAGGCGAATAGCCTCCGCGCATAAAGAGCGGGAGCGGGCTCCACCCTGCCTGTTTATGTAGAACATTGTGCAGATGTTGTCTGTTAGGATGCGGACTGTGTGATTGGCGATGGAGGAGGCAAAGTGTGCACAGGCATTCCTTACTGCCCTTAACTCGAGGAGATTGATATGTAAGTGTGTCTCGTTTGGGGACCATCTGCCTTGAACTTCGTGGCCGTTCATATGTGCCCCCCAGCCTAGCAGGGAAGCATCTGTGGTGATTTGGATAGTGGGTTCGGTTTGTTGGAACGGAACCCCTGTCAAGAGATTGCTTGGCACTGTCCACCATCGTAAGGATCCCAGCACGTCTGGTGGGATAGTAACCGTTTTGTTTCGAGGGTGCCGTGATGGGATATAAACAGTTGCCATCCAGAGTTGAAGACATCGAAAGTGCAGGCGAGCATGGTGGACTACATAGGTGGTGGAAGCCATGTGGCCCATTAGTCTGAGGCATGTAAGTACTGTGGTGGTAGGAACTGTAAGCATCCCATTTATAATTTCTTGCATAGTTGCAAAACGTTGTTGAGGTAGGTATGCCCGGGCTGTCACTGAGTCCAGGCGTGCACCAATGAACTCTATGTCTTGAACTGGATACAGCGTTGACTTGTCTTGGTTGATTAGAAGGCCTAGACGACTGAGGAGGGTCGTGGTCGTCTGTATCATAGAGGCTGTTTCGGCGTACGAGGATCCCTTTAGGAGGCAGTCGTCTAGATAGGGAAATATGATGACGTTTTGTCGTCTGAGATATGCCGTCGCGACAGCCAGTACCTTCGAAAATACTCTCGGGGCTGATGAGAGGCCGAAGGGGAGAACCCTGTACTGGAAGTGGTCTGGTCCCAACATGAAGCGCAGGTAACGTCTGTGGGAGGGGTGGATGGTTATATGGAAATAGGCATCTTGGAGGTCGAGGGCTGCAAACCAGTCCCCTTGATCTAGCGCAGGAATGATTGTGGAGAGTGTGACCATCTTGAAATGTTGTTTCTTGAGAAATTTGTTCAGTTTGCGGAGGTCCAATATAGGTCTCCAGCCCCCTGTTCGTTTTTCGGTTAAGAAATAGCTCGAGTAAAACCCTCTCCCGTGGAACTCTCGGGGTACCCTTTCTACTGCTCCGATGAGGAGGAGTCGATCGATTTCTTGTTTCAGAAGGGTCTCGTGAGAGTGGTCCCTGAAGAGGGACGGGATAGGGGGAAGGGTAGGGGGGATAGAGGTGAAAGGGATGGTGTAGCCCACTCGAATGATTTCCAAAACCCAGCGGTCCGATGTTATGGACTCCCATTGAGGAAGGAATGGGCGCAAACGATGGGTGAACAGATGGCCATGTTGGGGTAGTGCTAGATCGTAAGCAGGGTGTCGCAGGCCCTCGACCAAATCTTCAAATTTGCTGTTTAGATGGTTGGGTAGTTGGTGGGCGGGCCTGGTTGTGGCGTCTTCTGGGACCTCGTTGCCTTGGTCTAGTGTCTTCATAGGGCCTCTGTGATCTATTATATTGCCCATATCGGTATCGGTTGTATGAGTTATATGGGGTGTATCGTCCGCGTCTATAGGGCTGCATGCACATGCCCAACGTGCGGAGTGTAGACTTGGAATTTTTGCTGTTATGGAGTATTTCATCCGTAGTGGCTGCAAATAGTTTGTGCTTGGCGAAGGGCAGAGCCTCGACGGGAGGCTGGAGATCGCGGGGATCGCCGGAGGACGGGAGCCAAGAGGGT